GGTCGGAGTTGCAGATCGTCAAACGGCTGGATAAGAGACAGAAAGCGCACATACCATAGAGGTACGCCGGTCTACCATAGAGGTACGCCGGTCTGGTTAGGAGTTTTGATGGAGTGAGAATTCCGACAGCGGTGATTCATTCTTCTTTAGTTTAGGCTTTGTATTTTTTTTTTGAATTTTTTTTTGTATATTAGAATAATTTATAGTTTTCTTAGTTTCCAAAATAAATTAGTATCCTAAATTTACCAGGAGTGGTTTTGATTCATTCCGTGATTTTCTAGTTTTTTGTTTTTTGGAAACGACAAATATTATAAAGAAAGTCACACGCTTAGCAAGTTGCTAAGAAAAAACGTGGACAATGTACATAGATAGATACAATGGAGATTAACAGAAAATAAAAGGTGAGATGGACCAATCAAACCAACTACCACTCATTTCAGAACTCTTGTATTTAAGCCACAAAAATGATTGAGAAATAATGTCATTTGCAATCTTTGTTGAAGTGGTGATCACCTTATTAAACTCCTGTTTTTTGTTAACTCCTTAAATACTTTCTAATTTATTCTCCTAATCAAATAATTAAAAAACACTGATGTTCTTGTTTTTTTTTTAAATTAATTAGTAATTTATGTAATTTTTACATTTATATGTATAGAGATATTTAATAAGCTGGGTGGCCAAAAAGTTGCTGAAAAAATAACTACATCTTTACATATATATTTCGAGTATTAATAACCCTGTCCCTTAAGAGGATCCACCTCTGGCAACTTGAATCACCATAATTATGTCATGAGTGAGATGATCAAACACTATAGGATATGACCAATGGAGGAGTCAGGAATTTTGATACGATTGTTGTAACATCCCAAAAATTTCAAGAAATTTAAACTTTAACAACCCATGTACTAATAAAGATGGTTACAAAATCATTGTTTCCAAAACATTATTTAAAATCAGAGACTCCCAAGATCAAATTATTTGAAACCAAGGATGTGTACGGTCACGCCTCCGCCTTGCCACGGTCCACTGAAGTACCTGAAACCATAAACCAAAAATGTAAGCACGAAGCTTAGTGAGTTCCTCCAAAATACCAACACACGAATAAATAACATATTCAAATAACAACATGTATTGGGTCCGCAACTAAAAGACCGGATTACCCCATGAGCCCATAATATGAGTTTGGCTTGCCTATCAGGCCCTTAACTCATATCTGGCTTGCTCCTAAGCCCACGACATAAGTCTGGCTTGCCCTCAGGGCCCACAACTTATGTCTGGCTTGCTTCCTAGTCCGATCGGTCATCAGATTAGAATAAAAATGTTTAGCCCTCCGTACGAGTTTGGCATACCAACCGGTCCTCAGCTCGTATCTGGAATGCTACTGAGCCCTCATTATGAGTCTGGCATGCCCTACCCGGCCTTCAACTCATATCTGGAATGCTCTATTACCCTCAAGCCCTCATTAATAGTCTGGCATACCACCCGGTCCTCAGCTCGTATCTGGAATGCACCTGAGCTCTCAGTATGAGTCTGGCATGCCCTACTCGACTCTCAGCTCCTATCTGGAATGCTCCAAGGTTTGTTGGCTACAACATGAAGCAGTACAACCTCAACCCAATGTATGTCTTTCACCCATATTAGGTCAAAATGAGGATTTATGACCTAATCTCTATGCATGGCTTCAAAACTTGATTAAAGACCAGATCCAAGACACTACTAGGTCACCTTGACCCGGAGATTCATAAAGTTGCAAACTTTATGAGATCTACCCATTCCAACATCCAAGAACAAGAAGAAAAAGGGACAAAACTCAAGATCTAGCAACTTTGAATGATAAAAATCGGATATTGGGCACTTACAAAGGTCCAGAAGAGTGCCAAACTGAAGGATGAGACTTGCTTGCTAGATCTTTACTTCATTCTTCCACATTCCTCCTCAAAAACACCAAACTAGCTTCAAAATGGGAGGGAAATATGATTAGGGTTTCTCTTAGGGTTTGAGGGGCTAATGGGGGCTGAGGGTGAACAAACCATAACCTCCAGTTTCCTTTAAATTGGGAGCAAAACCCGGAAAACTAGGGTTTCATTACTAGCCATCAACATGCCGTCTTCCAGGATGCAACACGCTGTGTTGTCCTTGATAAAATCCGCGTTTCCTCATATTTGGACACGCTGTGTTGGTGCCTCCAACACGCCGTGTCGAATCCTCAAAAGGTGATTCATTCCAAAATTGTTCCTCAAAATTCCGGGTGTTACAATTGTCAAGATTGAAAATAGTAAGTGCAAAGCGTTTCTTAACATTTAAAGTCGTAAATCGAAAAAAATATTATTTAAGCAAAAGTTACAATTGTTTTGAAATTGATCAATGATATTATCATCAAGAACTTGTAGAAACACATGTTTCTCAATAAAAGTGACTAAACAATCGTTTAAAACTTGATCATTCATGATATTCGCAACTTATTTTTGACATATGTCATTCCATAAAAAACTCTCTCTACCTTTGTTGTAGTAATCGTAAACGATATATTTTATGTAGTTATCCTATTCGAACATGAAAAACATGGTACAATCGTTTAGCTGAGGATACAATAACATATAGCATGTTTACAAATAACTTTTTTACATATATACAACATTTTTTTTGGGATGTTGTAGTACCCCCACCTCCCCCATGTAGCTCCGTCACTCCCTCCATGTAGCTCGGATGTGAGATCCTCTTGCAACAAATTAAAAGGTAAAACTCAATTAGAAATTTAATACTACATTTCAGAGCTCTTCTTCACATTTCGACATGTTCTTCGGATTCCAGACTATACTTTTTCAGTTAAAAGTAAAAATTAAACAAGTACAAGTAATGAACAGGTAACTAGTAAAATTTTAGACTCATCGAAATCGGATGCTATTTGTCCTTTGTCCGTTTTTCCGACATATGAAGATATTTAGACATACATTCCGGAATGACATATGTAGTAGACATTCAGTTCGGAACCCGAAACCCGATAAAGAATGTGTGGACCGGGCCAGATAACTCAACTCCGAAATACTATGTTACAGACACGTTGATCATTTTTGCCAAAAATAAAAAGAGCGTTATTTTTGTCGATATAAACATTTATATTGGTTATTTACTCAATTTCCCTTGATAAAAAGAAAACCAAACCAAACCAAACCAAATATGAGTATATTTTTATTTCGATTAACCAAACCAATTAACCCAAACATCATTCGGCTCGATTTGATTTTTCGATTTCGGTTTACCCCATAGTTTTTGAGTTTCGCAATCCGTAAAATGTAAACCCTAGAAAATTAACTCCTACCTTCAGCCCAAAAAAAAAAAAAAAAACTGGACCTGAAAATCCAATCCATGAAGCTTGAAATTGAAGCCCAAGGTTCGATTAGTACAGAGCGTCGAGCTTGAATCCTTGAACAGAAGTCAAAATTGAATTGAAGCCACTCAAGAAGAATCAAGGTTAGGTTTTAGAGGGTGTTTGGATAAATTAGCTTATAGCTTCTTAGCTTATAGCGGTGAGAGAAAACAACTTTTGTAAAAGTGTTTAGATTAGAAATAAACAATAAGCTATAAGCAAGAGGGGTGCTTATTAAAATTAGCTTATTTAGCTTATCCCCACCATAATAAGCTGATTTTTAGTGTTTCCTATCCAAACACTTAAACTTAGCTTATAGCGGTAGGGATAAGCAATAAGCTATAAACACCCTCTTTTTTTCCCTATCCAAACACCCTCTTAGCATCTTCCTTTTCATTGGTTTACCTGTATAGTAGTACACTACCCAAACTTATTTTAGTTTAAACCGAAATAGTTTATTCCTTTTCTCTTCTTTTCTTTTCTTGAGTGTGTATATATGTACTTGGCGGGAGAACCAGATGCATTCCTTTTCCTTCTCTGTCCACCAATACGGGGATCGGATCTATCCAAGATTCCAAGGAATTGAACAAGATTAAAGAACATGCAAGGTGTGTATGGTATCCGATTACAAATGTTTATCTTGAAATTAGCTTTGAATGCATATAATGTAACTCATTGCAAATTGGTCATCTTAAAATTAGCTTTCATACGATTATTGCAAATGGCCATATTAAAAAAGAAACAACTTCCTTTTCTTTAGTTAATCATAATAATCTTGATTATTGATTGCAAATGGTGTACCGTAGGGATTACATTTGAATGTTTAGTGTATGTTTTCTATAAAAACCAAAATTTGAATGGTTTGCTTTGCAATTACTATAAGTATGTATGTACTATATATACTAGTACTTTGAAATTGTATTTTATACTTTTTCTGCTTGCTTCATTTGTAATTTGATTTATTCAACTTCCTACATAATTTGTTTACGGATCAGAGGAAGAAAAAGGCTCCATATGAGATCTTTCAACATTCAACTCCACCAATTGTGCTATCTACTCTAACCTATATACTGGCCAATTCATAAAACAAAATTGGGATTTAACTTATTCCTTACTTATTAGAGAGGGGACACTAAAGATAAAGAAAAAGGAAAAGAATTATGCTATGCTTTTGCTTGTTGTAATTATGTTTATTCCTTAATTATTAACCTTCAAAGAACAAAACATAAAACCAAATCTAAGAATAATCAAGACTTTGAGAAAACATGTCAACGTTACAGTTAATTAATCGATACATTGTAAATTATGTAATTTCGTTTATGAAATCATTACCTGAAATTCAATATTATGAGGGACAAATGAGGAAACATGGTGGGTAATTTCTTAAAGCAAATTAAATTAGTATGACAAACCACAGTGGAAAAAACTTGAGTGATTTCTTCTTTTGAAAAAGGAAAAATGAATAACAAAATAGCAAAAGACAAACAAGTGTAAATAAGAAAGAAAAAAAAAAGAAGCCTGCTTGGTTTCGTGAATTTGGCACACATATATGCTCTTTCTTTGCTATAAATAAGATAGGGATTGGGTAGTCTAACATGATCATTATCGTAAAGAGAGAAATATACTAATTATCATGGAGGCAGTACTTGAAGTACCTAAACACCGCCATCCACTAAAGCTCATTGATTTGCAGCTACAATATGAAGATGAAGATGATGAAGAAGGAGACAATGATGATCCGATTACCAAAAAAGAGGGGTTTGGAGGTGTCATATGCGGGATGTGTGGGGAAGAAATCCATATGTACCACAGGTACTACTACAAATGTTCATCATCATGCCATTTCTCACTTCACAAATTCTGTGGTGATCTCCCGTCAAGGTTAGACCACCCATCACACCCACATCATACTCTTTACCAGACATCATATTCATATAATCGAATATGCAATATTTGTAAGAGAGATCAAAAGCTTGGAGAATTGTTTTACCAATGTGGTAAATGTGATTTCTCCATTGATCTCAAGTGTGCCGTGGAAGTAGGAAAAAATATCATCCATCATCCCTGCCACCCACACCTGCTAATATGTGCTATCTCTAAGCCCATTTTATGCCTCTGTAGTGCTTGTGGGAAAGAACATAAAGGGATGTTCTATCAGTGTACCATTTGTGCTGGCTTCACCATACACAGTGATTGCGCTTTCCTACCAGAAAAATTGCTAATCCAAGAGAGAACGTATGGTGATTTTTATCATACCCATCTCCTCACCATTTCATATTCGTTCCCCTTGATAGATCAACAAGCTAAACATTGGCCCAGATGCAGATTATGCAATGAAGGGTTTTCAAGTACGGAGGATCTTTGGACTTACAAATGTGATAAATGTTTGTACTATGCCCATCTGGATTGCGTAAGAATGCCGCCTTATGCTGGTAAATTAATTTTATATTTACAATTGCTTTGCTTTCCATAATTATATATTATTATTTTGATATATAGTAGCTATTTCCCAATTTGTCAGGACTTGCCAAAACCATCAAAGATTACAAAGATGTTGACTATCCTCGTCTTCTTCATCTCCCATTCCTTGATGAAACTTACAGCCTACCAAAACACATGTTTTTCCAACAAAGCACTACTGATCATCATAAGGTAGATTACCTAAAACACGAAAGTCATCAACACCCTTTGATTCTAGTTGATCAGACACTTATAATCAATGGGCAAACCTCCTCTTCCTCCTCCTCTTGGCTTTTAAAGTGTCATGACCCAATGAAAAAGACCCAACTGCTATGTAATGGATGTCTCAGACCAATCATGTCCACCATGCCTTTTTACACGTGTGCTAATGTTAATGCTAATGCTAATGATGATCAGATTCAGATTCAGATTCATGGGGGTTGCAATAACTTTGCTCTCCATGAGTGGTGCACTCGACTCCCCCCAATAATAGAAAACCACCCAGGCCACCCACAACACACCCTCCATCTCATGTATTCACACGTCCTTCCTCACTTTTTCGGTGTGTTCCTTTGTGATGTTTGTGGTCTGGTTTGTAATGGATTTGCATATTGTTGTGTCAAATGTGAATACTATGTTGATGTTACCTGTGGGCTTATACCTAGAGAAATCACACATGAAGCTCACTTGAATCAGAATCACCTTCTTTTAATAGTCCAAATAGAAGAAAAAGATACTTCTTGTCATATGTGTCTTAAAAATCATTATGGAAGTCGACTTTCATTCCGTTGCAACACATGTAATAGTTTTATGCATCCTGAATGTGCTTTGTTATTACCCGAGATAATCAGGCACAAGTATGACAAGAAGCATCCCATGCACCTAAGTTACCTCCCGATTGAGAATCACAAGAGTGAATACTTTTGTGAAATTTGCGAGGAGGATTTGGATCCTCATGCATCTTTCTATCACTGTCAAGATTGTGCTTTGTCTGTACATAGTGCTTGTGCTCCGTTAATACTTCGGTGCGAGACACAAACCTGTGTTTGGTACTCCTGGAAAAACACTTACTATTTCGTGAATATAAAGTTTGGAGGCATTCTTAACACTATAGTCACCCACACCCTCTCTCCTTTGCTCAAGGTATTGTGTTGGATGGCCAATGTAGTATATGTGGTCAGGGATTACAATACCAACTGATCTTCAAATGCCTTGAGTGTAACTTTGTGATTGATTACTTTTGTTGTGAACGTTTGAACAAGATATGAAGGTTGTGGTTTCTCTTCCACATGCATGCTTGAAAACACAATATACAAGGTCTGTAATTATCATTACTTTATATATATATATATATATATATATATATATATATATATATATATATATATATATATCACTCGTTTATCTTTAAGATGATGATACAATAAATAATTTGAATTAAACATATGCATAAACTACGTGTTACGTCTCTTACAATCCTTTTGTTCATCCCTTGTAAGTCAAACATCTATTTATTTGTAACTTGGTCACATTTGTTTACCATTCATATTCTTTATTGTTTATTATTTTTGAAATAGAAATCAAATACATTTGCGAATTAGATTATTTGCGTTGTATAATCTAGGGAAATGACACTTTAGCCCTACAAAGGTGTTGTTTGTTTTTCTGAAGCAGAAATTCATAAAGTCTGCGGACCACCTCTGCAAACCTCTGCGGCAGAAGAGGTGGACCAAACGTCTGCAGACCGTAATAAGAAGCGTGTTTGTTTTTGTTAACATCTGCAGACTGCAGCAGACATTAAAAAATTAAAATAAACTTATTTAATAAACCGAAAATGGCTGCAGACTGCTCCAATTTCCAAACTTTTTAAAATTTCACAACTCTATAACCTTGAATCCTAATCAAATCCCAACAACATTTGAATGGTTGTTTTTATAAATAAATCTCCTAACACTCTAACTACACATCTAATCATTCAAACTTGTTTTTTTTTTCCATTACACTATGTAACATGTATAGGCAGTAACCTCAACTTCATATCACAAATGCACAATTTTCCATCTTCTTCACCAGGAAACTGCTTCTTCTTTTTCTTCAACCCCCATCCAACCCCACCACCCACAAAATCCTCCAACATTGAGCATTCACCTGAGGGATGCCAACAAGGGTAAAATTGTCCAAACAAGGTTTGAATAGCAGATTCTATTCCAAGATCCATTCAGCAAGAACTTCAATCGATATCAGCAAGGGTAAAATTGTCCAAAAAAACCTGGACAGCTCCATCAGCAAGAACTTCAATAGATTTCACACTTGGATCCAAGAAATCAACATAACAAGCATCCAATCAGGAAAAAAAACTGATTTCAATAACAATTCAGCAATAAACTTGCATCAAAAAAACAAAATCAACAACAATTTCTGATTCAACAACATCATCTTCAACAAAGAAAAAAAAACAAGAAAACAATTTCTGGAGGAAGAAGGAAGAAGGAGCCGAAATTTATGGATGATTCAGCAACATATATGCAGAAATAAAAGAAATCAACACCAATTTATGATTTCAAACGAATCCAAATGCCAATTTCATGAGGAATCGATAGAAACAGGAAAAAAAAAACGTAACTGTGAGGAATCGTTGGACTGCCAGACGAAGAAGGAAGAAGGAGGCGCCGGCGAGCTGTGGCGACGGCAAGGTGGGGCGACGGCGAGGTGGAGATCGATGGGCAGAGACGATGCGCGATGGGTTTCGATTGCTGGAAGAAAAATAGCGGTTGTATGTTTTTTTGGGGTCGGATTTTAGGTTTGAAGGGGTGGGAAGAGATACAACAAGTGCTTCCCCAAGAAGCACACGGGCAGAGGTTTTAAGCCCCGAAGACTTCCGAAAAACAAACTGCTGCGGGACTAAAAGTGTTGCGCGTGTGCTGCGCCCCGCAGCAATAAGAGCTTTGAAGAGGTTTTTCAAGAAAAACAAACAGCACCTTAGTCTGTTTAACCTTGAACAACCGGTACACCATGCCACATGTACACTTTTAGCAAAAAAAACCCAATCTCTTCCTTGTTCCTTGAATCAGGTCCGTTTTCTCGATGAAAGGAGAAAGGAGAAGCAGCAGTGGCTGTAGCCGCAGATGACCTGGTGGTGGTCGATTTCTTGCTGACCTTGATTGGGTGTACGTGTAGGAGAGCTCCTATGAATCTCATTGAGGCAACATGAAAAAAAGAGAAACGTCCCAACTGATATCATCACCAATCACCATCTTATTACAAATGCTTATCTTGAAATTAGCTTCAAATGCACAGCATCTCATTGCAAATAGGCATCTTAAAATTAGCCTTCTTTTGATTATTGCAAATTGCAAATGACCATTTTAAAACAGAAACAACTTCCTTTTCGTTAGTTGATCATAATATTCGTCATCGAGTGCAAATGGAGTGTGCAAGGTCTTCACTGCTATTTAGCTCACTCCTGTCAAGAATACAACGCAATAAACCTCTGTTTGTGAGCGTTTTTTTTTTTGGCAATCGTTTTGCTCTGCTCATCCCTGGTAAGTCAAATATCTATTTATTAATAACTTAATCACACTAGTTTACCATTCATTTTCTTTATTGCTTATTATTTTTGAAATAGAAATCGAATACATTTGCAAATTGGATTATATGCTTTGTGTAATCTAAAATGTATACGATTTCGAATAATTAAGAGTAGTGCGTCTTTGGCTTGTATTCCTTTGAACTTTCTGAATATTTTAAGGTAGATGTACACGATTATTTAGTTAATTTGAAAAAAAAAAATAAACATAACCGACCACCGGCTCCTGTATGACAACCACCATCTCCAACGTACACAATTTAATCTACCTAACATGTTTGATAAAAACTAAGGCTGTCATGTTTGACACGTCACAAATAACTTATATTTCGAGTTTTTTTATAAGATGTCATGTTTGACAAGACAAAAAGTAACATAAATGCCAACTTATAAGCTAACTTTTTTAAAAAACTACTTAGACTAGCTTTTTTTTTTAAAAAAAAATATACCCTTAATTAATTATAAAAAAACCCATTATCGTAAATGTCTTTTTATGTCATTTTATATATTTCAGTTAGCTTATTAGCTAGTTTTTACCAAACGCTATTTTTTTTTATCCTCTAGCTTTTCAGTTACCTGTTAGCTTTTAAGCTAACAATTAACTTTTCAGCTAACAACTAACTTTTAAGCTAATATGTCAAACATAGCGTAAGTGAATATCATTCAAATGATGTATACCTGAATAAATAACACATAAAGCTTAAACTTCACTATATGAAAAACAATATGGTTATGCCCGTTGTCCTCTATGTCTTGGAAGTCTAATATGAAGGTGGACTTTCATTCTATTGTGACACTTATGATTTTTTAATACATCCCGGATGTGCTTTGTTATTAGCCGAGACAATCAGACACAAGTATGACAAGCATCTAATGCACCTAAGTTACCTTCCAATTGAGAACCATAAGAGTCGACACTTTTGTGAAATCTTTGAAAGAGGAACTTAATCTTCATGCATTTGAAACGTCCCAAAAATACCATCAAAAAATTTCGTTTTTAAAACATTATTAAAACCATCATTTCATTACCAAGTATAAAAATCATAAACAGTTTGTTTAAAAATCTCATAAGATCTATCACATGTCAAATCTCATGTCAAATATCATATCAAAATATCAGAGTAAAACTCCCAGGCTAAAGACTGTGGTGTGTGCCATGCGATCATCCCGAGCCATTCCCTTTGCTAGTGGAATCACCTGAAACCAAAACTGAAAACTGTAAGCACAAAGCTTAGTGAGCTCCCCAAACTACCACATACCATTCAATAACACATAAAGCACATACTGGGCCTTGTCCACTGCATCGGACCGAAGTCCGGAATAACTTGGGCCTTGCCCACTGAATCGGACCGAAGTCCGGAATAACTTGGGCCTTGCCCACTACATCGGACCGAAGTCTGGAATAACTTGGGCCTTGCCCACTGCATCAGACCGAAATCTGGAATAACTTGGGCCTTGCCCACTGCATCGGACCGAAGTCCAGAACAACTGAACATACCATATACACAAACATGTAACATAAACATATAGCTACTGCATCGGGCTTGCCCGGAATCGGACCGAAGCCCGGAACACAAAGCACATAACATAACATGCATGAATCACAAAGACATCAGGCATACATACTACTTCTCGGGATCACCCCGGCATCGGACCGAAGTCCGAAACTACTATCATCTAAACGGGCCGACATTGTGGCCGTAGACCCGTTCCTACTGGAAGGAAACTCACCTCGCGTAACTGGCTGCTGAAACACTGAGCGGAGAATATCTGGCTGCTGCTCCGGCGACTCTCCGGCTATAAATTCCACAAAGACACTTATTCAGAAACTAATAGCTATCCTTAGGGTGAAATGACCATTTTCCCCTGACTAAAGTCCACATCATGGTCAAAGTCAACTTCCCAGTTGACCGGACTCGTCGAGTCCCAATCTTCTCATCTACCCCCAACCCGACTCTACTCGTCGAGTTTAGCAAGAACTCGACGAGTTCTCCTTCAATCATAACATCGAGACAATCTTCATCTGACTCGCCGAGTTCTCCCTGCACTCGTCGAGTTTATCTTCATCTTAATAACGTGTCTAGTCTGTGACTCGCCGAGTCGTATGAACAACTCGTCGAATCCGTCTTCATGAGTTGGGAGATGGCCTTGGACTCGCCGAGTACGTTCCTGCACTCGTCGAGTCCCATGGTTTCCAGATCCATGGCTTTGTCCATTTCATTGAGTCCCTTCCCTGGACTCATCTAAATCCCTTCTGAACTAAAATGGGTTCCTCTGATTCATAACAGTTTTGGGAACCAACTCATGACTCGCCGAGTCCCAAGAACGACTCGCCGATTCCATGCATGTCCAAGTCTAATAATTCGATTTCTAATGTGCAAAACTCATCCAGAAGGTAGACCTAGGCTCCTAAGATCGGTATAACACGTAAAGCCACGAACTTTACGTTCATGCATGAGACTTTTATGCTCAAAGGACCAAAAATGGGGTTTATTTCGTTCGTGGGGTTCTCATGGCCATAAAGATGGCACCTTTATGCCATGAGGACCCTCCAAGGTTCCAGATCTGAGTGTAAATCTACTTGGGACGTCCAAGTCTCAAGGATCAAGCTTCT